CGATAGCCCAGACATTACGGCAATCAAGGTACTCACGCCAGCTAGGGAAGTCCTTATATTTTCAGTATACATACCTCCAATAGGCGGAACGCGCCACGCAGCAGAACAAGAAATACAAGCTACGCTAAGAGTAATCCAGCAAACAGTTAAAACAATACCCCAACGAGGCATCATTATAGGCGGGGACTTTAATAGGCAAGATCCACTCTAGGGCGGAGACCAAATAAAACCGCATTTAGTAGAAGACGCTACGTCTCTAGTACTCTTTATACAGGACTATAAGCTCGAAAGCCACCTCCGCCGCGGTACGCCAACATACTAGGCAGTAAACAAGCAAGGTAGCAAAACAACAATAGACCTAACCTTAAGCAACCTCCAGCAGCACCTTCTCAAATACGAACTTTTCCCTCAAAGCTACGGATCGGACCACCGCCCCATCTACTCGGAATAGAGCCTAAAAATAGAGTCTAAAGCAGAGAGAACTCTAAAAAGGATATATAAACGAACAGACTAGTCGAAAGTAGGGAAAACCATCCAGGACGCCCTAGTAATACCAGAACACATCCATACCCGCGAGGAGCTCGACATAGCCGTAGACCAACTAATTACCACTACAACTCAGATAATAACCGAGCTAACCCCTACAGCAAAGCCGTACCAATACTCGAAACAGTAGTTTAATCCTAAACTTAAAGAACAACAAGTAGAACATAACAAACTACGAAGGTTTTAGCAAGCATACTACGCCGCGAGAGGTAGAGACGACCCTTTCACCCAGAGTCAGTTCGCAGCAATACAAAAGAGTCGTCGGGAATAGGTAAGAGCAATTAAATACGCAAAGAGTAGCTATTAGAAAGACTTCCTAGACCGCGCGGGCGAAGGAAACCTAGTCTAGAAAGCGGCCAAGTACACAAACTCGAAAGACAACCACGGCGCTATCCCTCTATTAGTAACGGATAAAGGACAAGCTACAACCAACGAAGATAAAGCGACACTTCTTCTAAACAACTTCTTTCCTAAACC